ACTGTTACCAAGTACTAAATGGCTTTCGACACCAGCTTTTACAGCAGACTTAATCGTTCTTAGTTTAACCTAAAATTATATGGTAAAACAGTGCTTATATGGGAAACATACTGAAGTGAAGTTGTTTCAACAACCTAACACTTTGAAGCAAAGTATAGTTGACCCTTGAACAACACAAGAGTTAGGGACACCAACCCCTGTGCAGTTGAAAATTTGGGTATAACTTTGGACTTTCCAAAAACTTAACTACTAATAGCCTACTGTTGACTGGAAGCCTTACTGATAACATAAATAGTCAATTAACGTATATTTTGTATGTTCTATATATTCCGTATTCTTAAATCAGAGAAAAGAAAATGTTATTAAAATCAGAAGAGGGGTGACGCCTGGGTGGCTCAGCCATTGTCTGCCTTTGGCCCAGGACATGATCCTGGGATCCATTCCCCATCAGGCTCCTTGCAGGGAGCCTGCTTCTCCTTCAGCCCGTGTCTCTGCCTCTCTGTGTCTCTCATGAATAAATAAATAAAATCTTAAAAAAAAAATCAGAAGAGAGGCACTTGGGCGGCTCAGTTGGTTAAGTGTCCGACTTTTAATTTTGGCTCAGGTCATGATGTCTGGGTTGTAAGATCAACCCCTACACACACTGGGTATGGAACCTGCTTAATATTCTGTCTTTTTCTCCCTCTGCCTCCCCCAACAAACCCCTTGCTTGCATGCATGTACTCTTAAAAGCATACACACACACACACAAGAAAATACATTCACAGTACTGTAAAAAAACCTACCTATAAGTGGATCTGTTCAGTTCAAGCCTGTGTTGTTCAAGTGTCAGTTGTAATATCAAACTACTTCATGTACTTGTTCTGTTAAAAGTTAAATTAGGCCTCCAGTCCCACACATCTTTCCAGCATATATGTTTGTGAACTCACACTAAAGTTCCAACACCACCTTTTCAGACTTGAATGCAAGTGCAAAGGAAATTTCCATATTTCAGAATTTATTTATGCGATCAAAGAGCTTGCATCTAACTTTCAATTGTAAGTGATTAGTCTGCAAAGTAATGACATGCTAAAAGGCAAATATTGAAGAATTTAATAGAATTCAATAAATGCCATCCCAGTAATTAATATACTCAATTAAAATGAGATGCTCATGGGTTGATATCAGTATTTGACAGTACCCATCTTTGTGAAAAGGCACGTTCAAATATGAAATATGTAAATCTCATTACAGAACAGCATTAACAGATGAACATTTGTAATGTTTTGATGATAGGTTCAAACATGAACTTTGCTGATAAGCTAAAACACAAATTTTGAATCTCAATTCAGCAAAATTTTATCTCCCAGCAAAGAATTCCTTTTTTCTCATTAGTGGATCAATATTATTTTGGAGTACTTAATTATATTTTGAATATCAATAGAAATTTTGTAGAAAATTTTCACTCCTAAAAGTACCTACATAATATTCTTGGCCTGGAAGACCTTGGATATTTACTGTCCACCCCTATATGACAAAGTTTGCTGACTCTGGAATTAGACAAGCAAACTAGACACTAGATAACTTGATTAATTAAAGGGGGACAGAATAAATACTTAAGGGAGAATAATCCCAGAAACCGAATTTTAATAATGCGTAGAAAATTAATTTATATAACTCCATGCAAAGAAGTTTTAAGATATGAATGAAATCGGATGAAAATAGAATTTACCAATATTAGGGCACAGTTAATAGTCTGACTCTTGATTTCGGCTCAGAGTCATGAAATCAAGCCCCACATCAGGCTCTGTGCTCAGCATGGAGTCCACTTGAGGTTCTCTCTCAAATCTTTTTTTTTTTAAGATTTTATTTATTCATGAGAGACAGAGAGAGAGAGAGAGAGGCAGAGACACAGGCAGAGAAAGAAGCAGACTCCATGCAGGGAGCCCGAAGTGGGACTCATCCTAGGACTCCAGGATTATACCCTGGGCCGAAGGCTGGTACTCAACTGCTGAGGCACCCAGGCGTCCCTCAAATAAATAAATCTTTTTTAAAAAAATGAATTTACCAATATTGACCCTAAAGGAAATAGATTCAACAGACCGC